GAGGTCAAATACCTAGGAGTAATACTGGACAGTAAACTCATGTGGAATAAGCACCTCGATGAAAAATTGAATAAAGCCTGCATTATTTTCTGCCAATGCAAGCGGCTACTCGGCAAAAGCTGGGGACTATCACCCAAAATTACTTTATGGCTATACAGGACAGTCATAAGACCAATAATCACTTACGGTGCTGTTGTCTGGTGGCAGAGAACAGAGCTAAGCACCGTCATAAACAAACTGCAGCAATTCCAGCGACTCCCATGCTCCGCGGTCACTGGCTGTATGCGCACAACGCCTACTGCCGCACTGGAGGTGGCTCTTGGTCTGCCACCCCTGGATCTATTCATACAGCAGGAGGCCGCCATGGCGATCATTAGACTCAAACACCTAGGTCTATGGCACAAAAGGGAGGGATCGCACTCTAAATTATGGGATCAATTGGTGGAATACGAACCACTGATAGCAGCTCCATGCGATAGAATCCCAAAACACCATATCTTCACAAGAAGATACTACATCCAGATACATGGAAATGACCGAGATCAATCCGGCATTAACGAAGTCCGAATTTACACGGACGGTTCCAAGACTAGGTCAGGAACTGGAGCCGGCGTTTTCTCGCAAGACCTAAATATAAACATATCACTAGCGTTAGGCCAACACAGCTCCATATTTCAATGTGAATGTGTGGCAATAACTTACGCCGCCACAACGGCCATGTCAAGGGGTATCAAGGACTACAACATCCGAATAATATCCGACAGCATGGCCGTCTTAAAGGCATTGGAGGGCAACACAATGACCTCTGGTGTTGTCCTCGAATGCCACCAAGCACTGGAACAGCTCGCTATATTCAATGGGGTACTCCTCCAATGGATTAAAGGGCACAGTAACTCACACGGGAACGATGCCGCAGATGAGTTGGCAAGGAGGGGCTCGGCAACCCCAACCTCTGGCCCAACCCCACTCCTGCCCATATCGTTTAACCAAATACGATGCTGGGTCAGGCAACGGACCTGTGAAGCACACAACCGGAGGTGGAAAAACTCACCCGGCTGCAGACAGTCCAAACTGGTGCTGAATCAAGTCACGCCACGACTAACCTGCAGACTGATCAGTCTTAGCAGACCGGAAATCAAAATGGTTGTCGGAACTATTACAGGACATCTAGCCCTGAACCGACAACTATTCATAGTCAATGCGACGGACAGCCCCCTGTGCAGGGGGTGTCTGGAAGCTGAAGAAACGGCCGCCCACGTAGTCCTGGAATGCGAGGGAGTGGCCCCACAACGGGCAAATATCATTCCTGATATAAAGTCGCTCCTAGAAGCCTGTGAACGCCCCAGGAGGCTTCTGCGCTTCTGGAAGGAGCTTGGCTGGCTCACCTAGTCAACCAATCCCCGACGCATAAAGGACCACTCTGAGTCTAAATGCGGAAACCGAGGCCCACAACCAACCAGCTGGATCGAATGGGATATTGTTTTCTAACAACCACAGTTTTATATCACCTACTCGGGATGCTGAAGTTGGAGCCTTGTTCCGAACCACACTATGGTATGGCGCATTGTCCATGACAATTATGGAAGCTTCATGAAGGTTTGGGATCAATTTTTCAGTCACCCACTTGGTGAAGTTGTGAGAATTCATTTCTGAATGATAATCTTCCATTTTGTTTTTGCCACTAAATATAAGTGAAGCATTGGGGACAAATCCATTAGCGGTTCCAGCATGGACGATAATCCAACGTTTTCCTTTTGAAACATCATGCTTTATGCCTTTGATATTTATGGATTGCCAGCATTTTCTCAATTTATAAGAAGCATGAATATAACTTTCATCCAAGTAAACTATTTGTTTTTGGAGCTCCACAGGCAAATCCCTATTTTGTTTGATTGTGTGCAAATATTTTTCCCTCTTTGCTGCTATATTTGTTTTTTCTATTAGCATTTCTCTATTTGTAGAGCATTTTTTATATGTAAAACCTATGGCATGTAAAACTTGCCTTAATTTCTCACGGCCCCCTTGAAAACCTAATTCTTCTCTTGCTACCGCTATCAACTTTCGCAAAGTTGGTGCTATTTTTTGTACAGTGTATGAAAATTGAACTTTCTGACGAATCGCACAGATAGTGAAGTCATCTAATTCTATTTTTGGGTGGCCCTTTCTATGCTTTGCAGGTGTTGAAAACTTGCCATCGTTTTTAAGCCCATCATCAATTATGCGTCGGACAGTACTTTTCGATTTGCCTGTAATCAAAATGAAACATTGTATGTAAAGTGTGTATCGACCAAAATATGCAGTCGCGCTATACAAAGCTACTTTTCGCGGATCTAAAAATAACCTCTAAAATTAGATTAAATCTGTAGAAAACGTCGATGTGGTGATTTTTCTTACTCATTTAACTAACAATTATTGTAATTTATATCGTAAATTACGTATATTATATAAAATTTGAGTGTATAAATACCAGTCATGGAAGCAATTCTGTTGTAAAGGTCATCCAATTCAGTAAGAAGTTTTCCAGCATGATATTCCGCCAAACATCTCCTAAAAACATTAAATATCACTTCTCTGGCGCCACTCTTTATTGTTTTACCCATTTCAAACAACGATTCACTAAATAAAACGTATATTTATCCAAAAATCACAAAATAAATCTCAAACAAGTCGAAAACGGCAAACTTTGACTGACGTTTGACAGCTGATGTAGTGTTGTCATTTGCGGAAATATTTTAGTTCCTCCTTAATTAATTTCTACTCTTGTTGGTCAAGCTGTACGTTATCACATAAATTAATTCATCTTCTGCAGATAAATCGTTTTTGTTTTTACCATCATCGTCAGTTTCAGATTGATGCGATTCTTTGGTACTGATTTGTTTTACAACCATATCTTACACCATATCTTGCACATGATATGGCAAATAAATCCTCTTTAAGCATTTTTATTATCTTCTACGTTTATTGGAATTTCCATTCATGGGGACATCAAAATATCATTCAGTCTGTTTGTTCCAACGCTTGGTAATGACGTTAACCGTAGTATCATAGTTACCATCATGAATTACGTTTTTCAAATTATAGCCCCCATCATCGACTTCTCTCTCGCCCCTAGAACCTTCCCCTCTCTCTGACATAATGCCTACATCATCCCATTACTTAAGATAATAATCCTTCTCTGTCTGAGTACTCCCGTTCATTCTCCAGAATCTTCAAAATCATTCTTCCTAAGAATCTCACCTAAGACAGAGAAAATGAATTTATACATTTCTTCGATTGGTGCCTTTTGGGTTGCGATCAAAGATCTTTCATTATTAGAGAGTCTAATGGCTTGGTTAGTAAATATGATATAATATGATACATTGAAAATTCTATTTGACATCAATAATTGTAATTTAGGATTTGGTTACGCTTTCGATATGATTTTTAATAAATTGCAGCACATGAAGTTGTAGTTTAAGGAACTTGCTTTATTTAAAAAATATTTTTTTTAGTGAAAATAATTTAGCTAAGACACGGTACTATTATAATACAGTAGTGTAACTCGGCCGCATGATAGAAATAAATGCCTACAGCCGCGCGGTACGTAAACATGCGTTAGGGCTGCCCGTCTCCAGCATTTTAATTATATTTGCCTACTTTCTGTTTCTATTTAGATTTGTGATTGTAAATATCCTTTTTATATAAATAAATGAAATACTTTGCATATTGAATAGGCAGTGTTCAATAAAAATGCGTGTGGTTTTTTGATTGGTAGATTTAATTATTTTATTTTCTTTCTACATTGGAGGAGTTTTTAGTGGTACACACACACAGTGTATATGTTGTTATAGTAGCAGCAGAAACACTGTGAAAATTTCGAAAACTATCTAATGACATGATAATAAACAAATATTATTAAAAATAAAATAACACGTCTTTACTTTGAATTATGCAAAGTAACAAAACACACATGCACCGAAGTTTTAACACAAGCGTAAGTAAGGTAAGTAAGGTAGGTACCTACCGTATCATGATTCATTCAGAACCTTATATAACTACCTATTTCACTCGTCTCAATAACTTTCCGTTACTCTATTCGCTTTATTAATTAATCCAAACACCTTTTTTTTCGTAAGATAAAAGGAAATACTTATCCATGAAAAAGACACACATTATGTACCTACCTACTAGTAAGTAAAATTATTTTATAGTCTTACCTTTCAGAGTTTCCAGGTAATTTAAAAAAACCTTATGTCTGGATGCGTTATTGACGAATTCATACAACCAAAAACAGCACAATATTTCCTACTCGTCATATTAACTGATTTTTAGAGAAAAAAAATCGCGCGGTTATTGTTAAAAAGAACAACACACCGTCCGTTCGACACTGCGGTACAGCCGTGACTGTCTGCGCCCCGAGCGCACCCCGAGATCGAGGCGCGTAGGTATAGCTCGCGTTTCGTCCGTTTGTATGAAGTTGGAGTACTGTATTATAATTGTACCGTGGCTAAGATATCCAAACCATTTTTTTTAAATGATGGACTAGATATTTTTAAAAACTGGAAAATAACTTACACATGAGAGTGTAAAGCACCTACAGAGTAAGGTAATAGAGCTGGCGTGCCCGCGTGGGCAAAAGCTCCTTCCAAAACACTAGAATAAAAAAAAAGTATTCAGCAATATTATTTAAAAAAGGCCCCGTGCACCACAGATAACATTGTAATATACTGAAACTAGCTGTGCACCCAATGACATAATTAACCATTGTCAAAATCATCTGATTTTTGTGGATTTGAGGTCTGGTTTATGCCATAACTTTAACGATTAGGAAGTTGAATGTTTATTAATGCATTAGTGAATTAATGACAATGTTTAGAATGTTATTGAAACATACAAAGATATCTCAAAGCAAGATTAAACCTTATTCAACCGTTAAAGAAAATGTATCACAGCAGACATCTAGTGAATTCGAAACCGTTTATTCATTTCCTTTTATTAAGTATATTTCAGTATTGAATAGGATGAAAATTTATCAAATATTAGGTACTTCGATAGCTATACCTGGTTGTAGTATACTGGAAGCACTAAATGCTCTTCCACCTGGTGCAATTTTGTCAGCATCTTACATAGGTAAGTCATGATATTTAGTGATAATGGTTGTATCGATGTTTTTTAAATAGTCACATTTATCTACAATCAGTCTAAAAGTAATGACGAACACACTCATAAGCACTAATCTGTGAGTCATACAAATATGTAAATAACATATTATATATATATTTAACTTTGTCCGACATTTTTTTCTAAATAGGTTAATTGCCGTTTTAGCTGTGATAGGGCTAAAAATCTTTTCTATTACAATTAATAATCTTCACAAGCTTATCTGTATTTTATAAACAACCTTAAAACTTGCACAAACATTAGTTGCTGAAGATATTTATATATTGCATGGGTGATACTTACCAACCATGACTTTTACTGTTACAGGTCTCACTGGATCAGCGCTACTTTCATTAGTTTCATTGCCTTTTAGAAATACCATTGGTTTTTTATATGTGAGTAAAAATAATGAAAAAGTTAAAATATCTTCAATGGACTTTTGGGGACGAAGAAGAGACAAAACCATACCAGTTGATGACTGGATTCCATTACTTGAATTGAGCCCTAAGAAAATGGATCCTTTGTATCTTACACCTCAAATTGCAGATGGATCAAAATATAAGTTATTTATTAAGTTTGGAAATATTATGAATCAAACAAAAATGAGTCTAGTTTTAGAATAAGATTATTTTAAACATATTTAAAAATTACACATTTCTATGATGTATATGCTCTATCTTAAAGTCAAATAATAACACATTTATTATTTTATGCCTCCCACAAAAGCTATCTTGACTACTGTTTTTTTCTTACTATCTTCTATAGAAGGCATTTAAGGAATCTCTTGAGGATGCACTTTACCACCTTCCACCTAACAGAATGATTTGAATAAAGCTGCCAAGTGTTAACCTAAATGCTGCCCAGTTGAGATCAGTTTTTTTACGGCACATAGAATACCCAAATTTTAGTAGACCAGACTGATTAAAAATAAATCACTAACAAAAAACGACAAGCCACAGCTAATTGTGTAATGATTCAATTCATCAATCAATTCAATTTTTTACCATTTATTGTAAGTACAAATAAATATATTTTAATGATTGAATCGAGAAATAAAATATGCCTTTGCAATTGACTGATGTGACGTTTCAAACAAGTTGCATGTTGAGGAATTCAAAGGTATGTAATTGATTACCCTTTATTTCCGATTTAATTAATACCAGGGCCCTGTTTAATAAACGTTACAATCCGACAATGACATATTTTTTGACGGGTCTGTCAGTCTAGTGGTTAAGTAAACCCACGACCTCCGGCTTAGCAGTCAGACCCTGACTGCTAAGCCGGAGGTCGTGGGTTTGATTCCCACCCAGGACAAATAATGTGTGTTGAGCACGGTCATTTGTTATGTGTGTGGGTGTAATTTATTTATATGTATGTAGTTAGAAATATGTAAGTATGTTTGTCAGTAGGTTCTGTCTAGTTTGGGACCAGACTGCCGTGTGTGAGGTGTGTGAAGTTATTATTATTATATTTGTGAAGCAATATGACAATTGCTGTTTAAAAACCTAACAATTATGTAAGAATTTTACACGTAAAAACGTTAATAAACGTTTACATGTGCAAAATACGCCTGTAGATTTCTATAACAATATTGTATCTACAAAATTTTACAAATTACATAAGTTTTTGTTAAATATTCTTAAATTGAGGGAAGATTTAAAAAATCTTAAAGTTTTTATATGTTTAGAGTTTGGTTTTAGCAATTGGTTTACAGAGTAGGTACTTTTATTCATAACTAAAGTCATGGAGTCATTCATAATTTTTCGGTGAACGTAAAATCGGATACATCAAAAGTAAAGTTTATCCTTTTACGAAAAACTCTTCGTTGCAGTTCATTCATATATTCATTATCACTACTGTATCTACTTGCGCTACTAGTTGTTAGAACCATTTTTTATGTATTACAATCAAATTTCTTCACTTAATTAATTGAGAAACAAAATTAATAAGTTCTGACATAAGGCGAGTCGTGTGCATTGCCTTAGCGGCAAAAGTTCGAATTTCATTATTTGAGTTTAACAGATATTTAGTGTATGGTAAGTAAAATTTGTGAATCCAACCATTGAGGAGTTATTCACGAAAATCCATTCCATCCAACGAGAAATACATTGACGCACAGATTTCATTTAAACATGCACAATTACCTCACGACGTCAAACACTATTATCTGTTAAATTCAAATAATTAAATTCGAACTTTTTCCGCTGGGGTAATGCACACAGGCGAGTCCACCTTTTTTTCTTCTGCCCCCCCCCCCCCCCCCCCCCTTCGGATATAATCCCCTCGGATACCACCCACCGAAGGCTTTATCGGACTCGAACCAACTAAAAACCGCACGCCGTCTTGGGTACCAGTAGCCGGGAACCAGGTGGACCCTAACAAGGAAATCCCACGTACCTCGGGCCATCGGCCGGCAACGCGTTTGTGAGTTGCAGACGTTCATGGACGGCGATGGTCACTTTTCATCAGGTGGTCCGTCTGCTCGTCTGCCCCCTCCAACATAAAAAAAAACTACGGCGGGTAGACGACCCCCTCCTGTGTGGAACCTCCATGTTCCCTTTGTGCTCCCGAAAGGGCGCGCGCGCTCCACAACGCGTCTCGCCGCCACCCTGGCCTGCTTCTGCTAGGGTGACAGATGGCCTCACCTGTCACCCCAGGGCTGCGCTTATGGAGGACGGAGGTCGTTCTGCGACTTCCGGCTCTTGAGACGTCTGCGGTACCTGGCCCGTTCCCGAGCCTGGCGGACTGGGAGAGTTCTAAACCTCTGCCGGTCCGGTCCGCCATCTCCTTCGCAAACATAGCGAGAGAACTCCCACCCTGATGGCCGCCACGAGGTCACGCCTCTGCTCCACCCACGCCGGAAGCACCCTTTCCCAGTGATCACCTGCGTCAGCCGGTATGAGAGGGTCCCGTGACGCCTCTCGAGCCAATCCTCCATAAGGGGTCTTACAGCCGCGATAACGGCATGCCCGGCGCTCGGTTGACCCAGATGGCCAGCACTCACTGCGGTCGTCGCAGTAGTGCGACGTTGCTGGCTCTCAGGGCCTCTTGGGGACCAGACCTTGGAAATGATATCCGAAGTCCCATCGGCCATCGAGTACGAGCCCCGGGTACCTCATCGAGGACTCAATGCCGATGCGAGTGCCTCCTACCATGAGGCTGGATCCCTCAGGTGGCTTCCTCAGAGGCCCATGGAAGAACAAGGCATGGGTTTGTGCAGAGCCACCTCGAGACCAAGCCGCTGGATGCGCTCAACGACTTGGGCAACCCCGGCCGTGGCCCTCAGGGTTGCCTCACGTGACGGCGACAAGATCTAAGAAGCACCATGAAGCACCCAGTCGTAGCTGATGTTCCACAAGAGTGGCCCTAACACCGACCCCTGTGGAACATCGCACGCCATTTCACGTCTACCGAGACCGGTCCTACTTGGGTAGACCACGGCTCTCTCCGACAAATATGCCCGACTAAAGGCGAATCCACCTGTCGGTTTTTTTTTTAATTTACAAAATACATTACAGTTTATTATAAGTTCAATAAAACAGTTTTTCCTACAATTATGTAAATCGTCACTTGTAAAGAGAAAAGTTTTATTAAACAGAAAAATGTAAAATTGTAACGTTTCAATTTGTAACGTTTATTAAGCAGGGCATAGGTATTAAAGAAAACTACTCAGTTTTAGTGTTATCAATCTACTCTTTAAATGTACAGTAGTACCTATATGAAACCAATTCTTTAAATTTAGATTAAATATACTGTTAAAACAATTGCAAGTGACTTTCTCTTTTACTTAATATACATGTTTTATAACCATATCTACCCGAGGTACCAGCAATAAGATAATCAAAAGGATAAAAAACACAAAACAAAAGTTATTTTAGTATTATTCATACCTAAAATTTATCCTTTTAAAAATATTCATAAGTTACTTGCTCAGGAAAACGAGTGCGCTACGATTGCTCCACCACGTTATCGCCATAGAAAAAAAAAATGTCGAAATTTGTCAAAGTAGCAATAAAGAAGTTATTTTTTTTCAAATTTAGGGCATACAGTAAAACTGTTACAAGAAGAAAGCTCTTAATTTGTCAAAATCAATAAAAGCAATAAATACTACCAAAGTTTAGTTCATCATCATCATCAACCGCCTTTAATAGTCTACTGCTGGACATAGGCCTCTCCTTAGAAAGAAGGTTTTGGCCAATTAACTTTTCAATAATTTAGTCGGAAAATGAATAAACTGCCAGAAATAAACGAATCGCAATCATTCCTCAATGCGAAAAGGATTCTCCGTCAAGACTCAAAATTACACGCAAGTAAAGTAAGTTCATTAGGGGTTTTTTAGTACTATGGTAAATTTCAGAAATCAAATATGTAGTTTTTATATTATAAGCTCATTATCTTCATAAATAAGGAAGCCGGTAAGCAACAACATCTTCAGCATGAAAATGTAGTTAAACAAGTAGACAGTACTGAACGAAACTGGTCAACAATAACATACAATGATAAAATTAAAATATATAATAATAATTACATATTATGTACAAATTTTTGAATCTAATTCCATTATTCAAATAACTGAGTTAGATAAAGGAGTTCACTAAAAGCAAACCACACGAAATTACAAATTCCAAACTATTGTGTAGTGTGTTTCTTTTATTACAGACTAGCTGACCCGCGCAACTTCGTCTGCGTCTCTCAATAGTGATAATTTTTCTCAGTTTTTGAAACATTCTTCATTGGTGCTCCGCTCCTATTGGTCTTAGCGTGATGATATATAGCCTATAGCCTTCCTCGATAAATGGGCTATCTAACACTGAAAGAATTTTTTAAATCGGACCAGTAGTTCCTGAGATTAGCGCGTTCAAACAAACAAACAAACAAACAAACTCTTCAGCTTTATAATATTAGTTTAGATTAGTTGGGACATTAGAAAATGTAGACCAACTAAAAACCTGTCTTGGACCTGACCTGAAACCTGCCACTTGTCTTGGACTTTGCTCGCTTACACTTTGCAAACACGTAACTGAAGTTTTTATATATAATGATGATAAATGAATTAAAAAGATGTGAGCGACGACGCGCCAAATGAAGTGTCGGCAAAAAGTCTTGTTACATATTTTTCCGACCGTGTGGTGATGGATTAAGAATACAGAGTGTCACCACCCCCTAATCATCTCGTGGGTGTCGTAAGAGCCGACTAAGGGAGAAAACTACGCAGAACAACACTGCAGAGAGAAGGAAAACTTGACACAAACCCTATACCGGCCAGCGTGGTATAGTAGGCCAAAACCTCCCTCTAAGGAGAGGCCTATGTCCAGCAGTGGACTAGTAAAGGCTGTTGATGATGACATATTTTTCGGTCTCGTTCCCACCAGATCGTGTAACGTCCGATAAGGAACTTCGTTCCAAAAGTTTCAATATTAAAGCCCGTCGGAGCCATGCGTGAGCGTGGCCTGCATAGTAACCGCACAAATTGACCACATAACATTATTTATTACGTTTCTTCACCAGAACCGTGGCGCCGAGGCGTAATAATGCTACGTGTGTGTGTATGTTCCTAGTCTAAAAATTCCATATTGAATCTCACAGCCAGGTCACGACTTAGTATATAACCTGTATTAAGTATCCGATTTTGAAATGCAATGGTTTCCTTGTTAATTTCTTAATATAAATCAATTGTCAGCTTAATATATGCTTTAAAAAGGTGGTTTGTAGCAATCATAAAGAAATAAAACTAAAGTATTGTATTTTAATAGAAACAGAGAATAAATAAATGAATATTTGTACTATAAGAATAGACCTTTTCAGTTTAGACTAACACATTTTTCAGTGGAAAAATTGTTATTTTATTAGAAGTCATTTTGATAATCTAAAACTTATACTGTAAAAATTTATACTGTAATTCTTGGTAAAGTCCAACGCCTGGGATTGGACTTTACCAAGAATTACAGTATAAATTTTTATTCATTGCTGATACTTAATAGTGCACAGAGTAAAATGACATCACTATTTCAAACGCATTCCATTTTTTATACAGCAACGACATTTTACAGGGTCATAACGATGACAATTGCCTTAAACATCCTCTGGAATACTGACTTATTGCCAATCGGTGACGCCAGAGCTTCGATCAGAGTTCTTCTTCTTCTAGCTTATTTTGCACATGTTTATTATAATATTTATTACTTATGCACTCTACTTACGACCTTACAGATGTATAAACCAATTCTACTAACGTCTTAATAATACCGGTAGTCATGATAATATAAATGGGCTGATCGGCCCAGTTGATCCCACTCAATGACATTGTGACTTCCTGTTGGCAAGCAAGCCTCCAGCAATATGCTATCATTAAATATCGTCTTCAGTCGATCGAAGAACCCCGCGCCTTAGTAACCCCTTCTACCGTCGCTTAGTTATATAATAGCCTGCTGAGACGACACAATCTCTAGTAGAGCCGGTAGTCAACCCGCTACGGTGCGGCTTACTATAAAACTAAATAGTAACAATAATACTAGGTGTATGGTTAATACAGATATTTTTATTTTGTACGGTATCTTATCTATACGGTACTTAAAATCGGTAAAAAATCGAGCAACTTAACGATAAACGAATTTTAGTGCAGTTACTAGTAACAATCCCTGCTTAAACATCATTTTTCTCACTTATGTTATAAATAGACAAATAACTTTTACCTAATAACATTTCGCGGACAATACTTGTCAATCTACATTTATGATGATATTTAAATGAAGTGTCTATAAATGTAGAAGGATCGATTTTATACAAGCAGATAATCGTTTTTATTTGAATTATTATTTATATAAAATCAAAAGGCTATAAACATGTAACATACATTTTGTTCTTACTTGGTCTGATGAACATTACTCAGATCAGGTTTGCATTCCGGTATTCCATAATTTACTCTTATCAGATACACCATTATTTTATACGTTCACAGAAAACACTATCTCATTTTATTTTTACAAATATCACGGCAATCAACGATTCTCTACTTTTCCTTACATGTACTACACAGTAAACGTTTTGGTGCCTATTAACTTAGATATAACTTGCATCTAGCATGTTTAATACAGTGAAATTTTAGTGGCCTGAAAATCACAAATTTAGAGAACACTAAAATTCCAGAGATTATATTCTCATAGAATAAGACAATTATTTTCATAAATGTCCATCGGAAAACAAAATAATTTTCACTCGTGATTTCGGGGATTTGTAGTATATAATACAACCCCTTACAAGAACAAATGTCCATTTCTAAAGTGCTCACACATGATAATTGAACTTTTATTGTCCAAAAGTTTACTATTCAAGGGATACTCTAAAAACTGTATTTGAGTGATCTTTAACTTACCACTTTTAAATAATCAGTACTCATATCAATTAGACACAATTATTACTAATTTCAACCTGTACTTAAATATTTTCAAGGCTTGTTGTAAGCATACCAAATTGAAATGAATACGACACACAATATATAAACGGATGAAGAACCTAATATTCGTAGTATCTTTTTTTGAATTAGTATCACTTTGATTTACATATGTTAATATCAATATTAGTAAAATGATTTCATTTATCAATAATATAAAAGTAACAACATCTTCCCAAAGTGGATTCAAAAGTTAGAACTACTGTATAATCCCAAACCCAAAACATAGAAAATAGCCAAACACCGACTACTTAAATGTATTATGTCCTTTATACATTACCTACATATGTTATGGACCCACTGAAAATAATTTAGTTAAAATAAAAAATAGGCAGGGGCTAATAAACCAAATTTCCTATTTTGTTTTGTATAGAAATCAATTTTAAACTTCCTAGTATATACTGCATGTCTATTTTTGTTTATCTAGCCATTTGGTGCCTTCGACAAAAGCACCATTGAATATCCCTTGAACAGAATTATAATTTATAAAATCTAGGGTAATATTGCATGAGTGTTTTGGTGTTATTAAGTTTATGTTTAATAACCACAAATATATTTAAGCTTAATCAACCCAAGCTTGTGCAGGCTGGTCTGTGGTGAAGGGACTGACTCCGTTGCGTTCCATAGCCTCTAAAATTTCACAAACATAGGCAGCAACATCAGCCCGACTCGTGTCAATGCCTTTGATAAACGGATGCTCCAATAACCTGTTATATTTTGGGCGCTGATTTTCTTCTTTTATGAGGCTGTAATCATATATTGAACATATTAATTAAAGCTAGCGATGTGGCAGTGATGATGAATCATCTTCAGCAATTTCTATAAATCACATTGATTACATTTAGTGCTTAGACGGGAGTATATGGTAGTCTGATTGTACTGACCAAGTATTGACAAAGTTGACGAAATTGTTAGAGAATGCGTTGTTGGTATTTGTGAGTCTAGGTGGGTCGCCTTGCACGACCTGTTGCAACTGCTCGAACACAGAGCCCCAGCGGGGGTAAGGGAATGCGCCGGTCGCGACCTCCATTAGTGTGATACCGAGCGACCACACGTCTGACCGTACGTCATAGCCTCGCGCTCTCCCAGGATCTATACGTTCTGGCTGTAAATAAATATAAAGGTTAATTTTCAGAATATCTATTTTAAATGTACTTTAAAAATAGCTTATATCATTATATATATTAATTAAGAACGCTTACTGCCATGTAAGGTCTGCAACCAGCATCACGTGTGCGCGCTATTGAGTCCACAAGTTTCCCAGATATGCCAAAGTCACAAAGTTTTATGTTTCCTCTTCTATCCATTAATATGTTTGACGGTTTAACATCTCTGTGCAGAAACGTTATATAAATAAGCAACATCTAACATTGTATAAATTACTAAATAAAACATCACATTTTTTTGTAAAATAATAAACATTTAAAATTGGTATGCCATCCAATAACAATAACTATAAGTATAGAATGCGCCAAATAAATCTACGCCAATTTCTCTGATTTGCTCTAACGCACTGTTATAAATATAATTGTTATAGTTTCTGTTAATATTGTTATGTCTTTTATTTGTGTTTATCATCTTTTTTATTTGCGTTTGTTATTATAGTTGTACGCGTAGTGTAGTGTATAAATATATGTTTCTCAAAATACCCAGACAGAACTCCGTTTTAAAAAGGCAGGCCAGTTTTTTTTAATGTAGGTACTATATAATACTACATAAGGACTACTACTACGTACTATAGAACTATTTGTATATTAAAAACCAAAAAAGTATTTTGAAGTAAATTAACAACATAATTTATAAATTTTTATATATGTAACATATTAAAAAAAAAATTACAACCAGTGATATATTATAAGAACTCGGAAGGCCAATTCTCGTAATAAAAATTAGGTCAAAATTCAGTTCAGATCTACTTTCGATCTCACAAATGTCATAAAATGTACATATTTTCGTAGTAAAATAGTAAAATTACTAAAACAAGCAGACTACCGCTTCAACTTTCGATCACTACGAATAATAATTTCTCTAACTAAGCCTAATAAATGGTTCCACGAAATATATGCCGTGGCAGGCGGGGCTTAAAATATGCACATGCTTAAAATAATCAGCACCCCGTGACACTCGGGTTGAGTGGTTGTATTACGGGAAATTTTGATTGTGATTATTTTGTTATCCCATACTTAACGTCTCTGGCAAGTGTTATGCAACATGTAAGATTATTTTTTCTAAAAATGATTGTTGTTAATATTAAGGGTTATATTACGCAAAACTATAATATATTACAATACCACAGATTCAAATTAAATAAAATCCAGCGTGAAAAATAATTCTGTTTGTTTGAATGATTTTATAAATTGTCATGTTAATCGCTGATATTCCAAAATCGTTCAAGAAAAAAGAAACTGGACCCAATTCTGTTGAATATCAACAAGACATACATTTAAACAAAACCGTAGCAGAAGTTACTGGACTATCGGAAAAGCCTGTATCTAGAATCGTACATCAAGGGAAATTAGAATTTAAGTTAGGGAGTTATTTTTGTATTATCATTAATAATTTTTCATTTAATAAATCACTATTTCTTTACTATGACGTCACATATCTTAGGAACTATCTAGGCGCATTTCATCTCGTGTGTATCTCACTAAGCGCCCCCGCCGCCCGCACCTGTCTCAGTCACCTTTGTCGTCATACCCCCGCGCCCCTGTTACCGCGCAGGCGAGGACTCAGATAAACGGTCGGCCTATAGTGAGTACATTCGACAAACACTAGAAGAGTTACTGTTGTAGAGAAAATATTATTCTATTAATACAATATAATCACATTACAGTCAACGTTGGATGTTTAATACCTTACTACGAAAGTACCTTTTAAGACTAATCAAAAGAAGGGTAGATCGGAACTGAATTTGGTCAAGGTACTCCTCGGCATATCTCGGAAGTCTTCGGCAGCTTAAGGGATACCTAAGGACGCCTCGGTATACCTTAGCCCTTAGTGACCTTAGAACTTCGAAGCTACCCTTAGCTAGTTTCGGACGTTTTCGGGACACCGAGTCAAAACTGGGAATCGTCCGCATCCCAATGTAAGTTTATCTTTTTCATCAGCAAGATAAGCAATGAGCACTAGGCCCCAATCTAACATTGTGAATACGACTGTTCGGAGGCAACGTTGCCATTGTTCTAATTAAGCTCGGGAGCAGGCTGTTGCGTGCATGCCTAAGAAGAGAACTCCTCGGCATTCCTAAGCACACCTCGCCATGCCTGAGGACTACTCTTCAATAATATGATTGCCGTCAGTGTGCGTCTGCGTGTAGGTATGCCCAAGTATCCCTATGCCGATAGTGGGCGCCGATGTGAGAGACCGACCAGTGGAAGGAGACACATATTTTTAACTAATCTTTATCTTTAAAACTATCTTTATTTATTGTATATAATAAGATATGCAGAAAAATTGAAAAAGAAGTGGTGCACATTATAAAGGATCTATAAAATAATAATACCTGCTAAACAAGGCTTCTAAAATACATGTTATAAAAATAAATGGTAACATAACTATGTTTGCTTAAGTTATAGATATGGTAAGTCAGTATATAGTCAAGATGTATTCAATAAAAGTTAATTTATACCTCTTACGAATCAATACAAAAAACATAAATATCTCACCTATGAATAATTTTTAATTTTTCTTTTAAGTAGTTTAAAGCTTTGACTGTTGCAAGTGTTATTTTAGCTAAGATAGTTTCAGGTATTCGAGTTTGCATCCTTTCACATATAAACTTATAAAATTTGTCTAAAGATGTATCCATTAACTCCATGCAGATCCAGCAGTCACCCTGGAACCAGTCAAACACTACTTATAGTTTTTAGTATTAATACTAGGATTCTATCTCAACATTTTTAATCTATTTATGTAAATGTTAAGTGCGTGTGAGTATGCTTCAAAAATTAAGAAAGTTCAGCATTGATTGACCTCAAATTTTGACACAATGTGTTTTTATTAGACTTGCAACGAATATTCGGTTACTATTCGGTATTCGGCCTATTCGGCTGCTTTTATTATATTCGGCCGAATACCGAATATCTACATATTATTCGGCCGAATACCGAATACTTAAATAATATATTTTGTCATTGAGAAATAATTGGTAAAATGAAAAATTAAAAAGGATTGATTACGTATATATTCATATTTTTATTTCTGTTATAATCATTTAAGTAGTCATTGGTGCATAACACAGGTACATAATCATCTTCTGAATTGGAAAAATGGAGGATTCTATGTATTTTAATTATTGTAGTAATCAAAATTTAGAAGGGTAAGGTTCTCGTTTTTTTTATAATCATTTATTAAGTAGTCATTGGTACATAAAACAGGTACATAATTTAATTCACGTCTGTACAAGTTTTTGGCGCTAAAATCCAGCCGAATACTTTTGCCTAATATTCGGCTATTCGGTCAGGGGCCTCGCCGAATATTCGGTATTCGGTGTACTGCCGAATATACTATTCGTTGCAAGTCTAGTTTTTATCCATTTTTCGGTTCAATTTTGTTCTTCATTTATCATCAATGCAATTTCAAAGTGCCTCAGAGAACCATGGCAGGGTACAGCTAGTATATGATATATTAATAACTTTTGTCTTGCAGGTGTTAATTACCATCATATAAGCTATGTAAGTATGTAATTGGAAAAAAAATATAAGTAAAACTATGATACCATCCAGTTATCTAACTATGTGCATGTTGGTATGTAAAGTTAATAAATGCAAAAACACTTTTATGAATACAAAAAAGTGTATAACAATGCTGTGTTGTTGGTTGATGTAGAACAGTATACACAAATAACTAATACTTTATTAATATTAATAAAATGAGGACACAAGGTACTTTTTCTTCTGAAGAATAAATAGATAAATAAAAATTAAAAACAAAGCTGTGTGTAAATTGAAATTTAAACATACTATCATCTTGGATACTGTTACAGATATTCTACCATTTTTAGAGATTAAAGTTATAATGAAACATGAGCAAAAAATATATATTTGAAATAATATAATTTAACACATGTAATTTATAATTTTTATAGAACTTTTTTAAATATAGGAATGATCTGATAACGAAATAAATCTGAACATGATAAACTACAAAAGTACCAACAGATTTTCATATGGTTATCACCACTGGACAGAGTGAGTCATGAAGAAAATGCAAGTGTATGATGACTTTGATTCATGAAGATTAAGATATGATTAGTTACACAAAAACTAATAATAATAATAATATTCTACCACATTCACACAACGCCATTATAAATACATTTTTTTTGTATATACATACATACACACTTATTATACATAGAAACACCCAGACCAAATCAAACATTAAATGTTCTTGCACACAAATGTTTGACTTTAGCGGGAATTGAACCCGCAACCTTTGGAATAGCAGTCCGTTATACAAACCACTATGCCATTCGGTTGTCAGTTTTAATAACATATAGAGATGCTATTTGTCTGTATCTTAAGATTAACACAATAATGAAAAATATGCTAGAAAATGATTTGAAACCTTTCTCAAATTCAGTCATTTTGTGCAGTATATTAATTAAATCAAATTCTCCAGAATTGACTCTATCCCAAACAATACAGTCGTTATTTTTTATAATTAGGGCAAACAGACTGATAGGTATACTAAAAGAAAATAAAAAAAGGTATTTATGCATGGTTACTGGTACTAATTTAAATAAATGAATACCTCTTTGAAAAGTGCACCATAGAACTGCACTATGAATACACAATCATTACTTTTCATGACAACTTCCAGGTCCATCAATAATTGTTTCTGCTCTTTCTCATCAACTGTGGAGCGTATGCGCTTTACAGCCATTACACGATTTGTTCTGAAACAAATGTACACCTTGGGTGTAAATGTAAAGTGTGTGGCTAAAGTAACACTATTTTCAAATTCAGGCTGTTTTTTTTTTAATCAATAATGCTTAAAAGGTGTACTCATTTGATAACCCAAAAGCAACAGTCAGCAAGTTGATATTTACCCAAATGGTGAGAACTAGAATAATATGCAATATTTAATAACTGTCTATAATTTGATAGATATTGTAAAATTATTTTTGATATAATATGCATCCAGCGATATCATAAATTAAAAAGAAACAATTCTTACTTTCTGTGAACCATTTTATTTACAGCTCCAAAAGCTCCTCTTCCTATTTCTCCAAGATCTTGTAAGTCATCTGCAGTGAAATCATACACTTCAGTAGCAGACAGTTGCAATTTCCCTGATGACTGCATAGATGGATATATCCTACATCTGTCTCTGAAATATTAATCATATAGTTAACTTAATTAATTTATAATATGTAATACTAATTAATGAGTCTGAACTTAAACAGTCAAACAATAAATAGTGACTAGTAATCCAACATTAACATAGTGGTACCTTGTGTTTTCAGGCAATACATCTCTTATAGTTCGTGAAGGCAATCGAGGTCTTTGAACTGGAGCAGGGTTTGCAGTAAAAGGCATGAAAGCTGCACCATCACTAGATGAACCTCCTCCTAAATGTAGATTTAATCCCTTGCGTTTTTCCACCCCAAATAAATTCAATTCGGGTTTTGGCATAGTTGGTCTGCTTGGACCTAGAGGAGTATCTACATTTAAGGCTTTTGTACATAATGTTGACATTATTCAGTATAGTATGTCATTAAAATAAAACGCATAAATTTTACTAACGATTACCTTGGTTTGCTGACACTTCGCCATTCTTCGACATCTTTAATTTGTACAATAATGGGTTTTATATTTTTAGTTTTCACTATTCTTTGGTGTAAATAACAGTTTCCAAATTCTCCATTTGAAGTTTTAAATTGTGAAATTGGTCACGTTTCCATAATATGCCATGTAAATAAATTGACGAATGTAAGCATCGTACATATTACCGACAACAGATATGAAGGCATATGTTTGACAGCTTGCGTTTTAATCTGTGGATTCCCGATTCAGTCTTAGGTATTAGAAATTCATATAATGTAGATATGAAATTATTATGAAATCTTACCAACTAAAGTAAACCATGAAATAAACCCAAGCAACCTGAAGTCTAAAAACTCTGAACAAGTTCAATAATAATGAGTGCACACTCCTTCCTTATAAAGTTTAATTATAAAAACAAATCAAATAATTAAATTCGTAAAATCCAATACCAAAAATTAATTGTAGAAGTTGTCTATCATGTTTTAGTGATTTTATAGTTCTCTTTTACGACTCCGAGTCTGGTCTAATGTTACGTCTGTCTGGTCTAACGTCAGAGATTTAAAAACAAAAAATGTTACTGTCAAAATTCTGTCAGGATTACTGAGAGGTTGGCTTTGGTTATTTAATGTCCCAATGTCAAAACATCAATCATAAAATAATAATTTTATTTTGGTTTGTTACCTTTAATCAGTGAATTATAAATTACATATGCCGTGATAAAAATGTCAACAATAATAAAATTCGATGCAAAAGAATTAAAAAAACTAGCTAATGATAAGACCTCGTGTATTGTGGAAAAAAAAGTGACACAAAACTTGGCATTACAACCCTGGTGTTTAGGGAATTTGAAAGAATCTGTAAAAAACATATTAGATTACAAAATAGGGAAATTTGATAAAGTGTAAGTAATTGTGTAAGTTATCATTGTAAAAACACAAATAAAACTAAAATTTTAGTTTGAATTTTAGTCTGAGTATGGTTTTTCGTCTTAATTTTTATAATATGTTCAATGTCTATAAACAAATATTAGATGTCACATGCAATTCTCTAACTTATACAAGTCTCATTCATGTTATTATTTATTTCCATTATTTTAGGTTTCTTGATACACTAAATAAAATTTACATATCTTTTAAAATCTAATCATTACAGGTTCAATGGAATACTCTTAAGTTATAAGAACCTCAGAATACTGCAGAATGTTGGCGCAATCAGAAATGATAATTCTGACATCCATTTTCAAGTACAAGCTGATTATTTCATTTTTCGACCTCATGTTGGAGCCACTCTGACAGGAATTGTTAATAAAAAGAGTATTACCCATTTGGGCATTCTTGTGCACAGGTATGGTAATTAATTACTATTACAAATATTGTGTAATATACAACAAACAGGTGTTACAATTTTGCTTAATATAAAAATGGCAAAAACCTCCCATTGACCCTGACTGTTAAGCTGGAGGATGTGGGTACGATTCCCACCCAGGACAAATTATTGTGTGATGAGCACAATCATTTTTCCTGTGTGTGGGTGTAATATGTATATATTTAGAAATATTTAAGCATGGTTATCAGCAGTCTGGATACTATAGTAGAGGCTCTGCTTAGATCGGGATCAGACTATGGTGTGTGAGGTGTGTGAAGTTATTATTTATAGTATTCTCAACCAAAGAAAAGTACCCCCAAAATTTTCCCTATGTACTGCATACTTTAATAATATTTAATTTAGTTGTATAATTTTTTTTGCTACTCTTAAAAGTATTTCATATAAATGTTAGGGACAGTAGCTATTAACACAAGTTACTGTTAAGTTAAATAAAATAAGAATTTTATACATTAAAAATCCAATATGAAATCCCAAATTACATATGTAGTCAAAAGTGTAAAATAAAAAAGACAGGGCACAAGTTGTCAATAGAGCAAACTGCCTAAAGTATATCGTAATTATCCTTTTATCTATGATCTCATTATGAAGTAGTAGCTGATGAATAAATGTTTTGTGTATTTCAGAGTTTTTAATGTAGTAATTCCAAGGCCCACAGAAGAACCTGGTGATATCTGGGTTGGTTCCAATATTCAAGAAGGTCAAAAAGTAACATTCAGAATAGTAGTCTTAGATCTTTATGGAGCCTTACCATACATCAGAGGAGAACTGGATGAAAGGTTAATATTTGTTTTAAAGTACAATTAATTTTGAAATTAATCATTATAATTCTGCTGCTATGGTGGTAATCTATTAAGTATAATATCATAAAGATGTCATTACGAGGAGTCTTGATTTACACATCTAATGGGTTAATATTTTAGACTAGTTAAAGAAAAACTAATTTATTGTCAAAAAAGTGCAATTGCCGCTTCCATACTTTAAGTGCTATTACTTAGAAGAAACATATTAAAACCTTAGATAATTTATATGTCTAGATAGAGTGGCAATTAAAAAACAACTAAAACAAATGTGCCATGCAAAATGCTAAAAACCAAAGTAAAATAACCACCTGCAACTTTATAAGGCACAGGTTCCGCCGCATATGGAATTCTGTTCTTATCTCTGGACAGGAGTACCCATGCATGCAGGTCAACTCAAATAGTTGATTGCCAAAATATTTCGTGATTGCTTTGACCCCGCATGCCATTGCCTAGAGATGTACCTTCACTTTACATTCTCTATCACTTGCATTATGAGGAATTAATTTATTGCACCTTAGACATTGTTCGAACTTCTACCGGCCGCAGTTTTCCGTACGCAACGCAAAATATCCATCCTCATGACTTATCTAGCAATCCACCACTGGCACTGTGCACTTTTCAAGAAACTGTTATCCTCGTACAAGAATCTGTCGAACAGAATGTTACCTGTAGTATTTCCGGATCGATCTTTTCTAGGAGATCATGAGCGTACTCATGGGGTTTATCTCCGCTACAGGTCCATATCATATATAGGTCGGGACGGCGAAGAATGCCGAAGGGAGGTCACATGCGGGGTTCACAGGGGTCGGTTTTAGGAACCCTTCTGTGGAACCTAGCGTATGATGACGACTGGGACTTTGCCCAGCACACGCAGAAGACTGCCCTGCGTGGGCGTCTGAACGTGAAGTCCTGGTCGACCAAATCGGACGAGAGCTGTCCCCGCCATGCTGGCAGCAATAATTGATTTCTGTGAAGCTGTAAGGCTCCAGAAAGAGACCGCTGAACGGGAACGGGAAAGGGTCGATCCCGAACGTAGAGGACGTCGGTGGCGATACCAGCCGTCGACGGGGCCGCAGGCTGCCAGGGGGAGGGGACCTCTTGTGGCAGATTAACTTCTGCGGTAGGCGATAGGATGGCGTCCTGGTTGCAAAAATACGATCGGGCCGCAACATATTATAAGGATTAGGCCAATAGGCAGTGGAAGTGAGAAGCTTCCCCGGGATAGGGCTTTACTAGGCACGGCGTCGATCCGGGGGAGATCTGAAATAACATGGTCCGGGTCCTCCTCAGAGTACGTCTGAGTCGGGTTGGTTTTTAGTGGAAACACCACATACTCCTGGCTCCTACATCCCCAAAGAGCCGGAGATCCGAAGGGATTTGCCACCCGTACACAAAAAAAATATTATTATTATTATTCTCTTTATTTACTTTATATACATATTATTTACATTTTTAAACATACACTTTATAAAAAATAGTAGACCACCGACATCGGGACTCCAAAGATAGGAACCTCCTCACTATACGAGCCGTGTCAAGGAGGACTGCCTTCTGCATCAGACCCTTGATCCAGCCGTCCAACGTGAGCCTCTTAAGGTGTTGGTCGAGGCTCTTGGCTATCAATCCGTGAGCAGATACGACTATCGGAACCATGATCACTGAATCAACATTCCACATATCGACAATCTCGTGAGATAAATCCAAATATTTAATTTGTTTTTCTTTTTCAACTTTCACGAGATTCTCGTCATGAGGAACGGCGATATCAACAATCATTGCGCGGCGCTCTAATCGATCTATCAGCACAATATCAGGCTTATTGGCAACAATAGTCCTGTCTGTGATAATAGATCGATCCCAATACAACGTGGCCCGACCATTCTCGAGAACTGGGTCGGGCACATACCTGTAGTATGGCACCTCTAGATTCACAAGATGGTATTTAAGGGCAAGCTGTTGGTGTACGATCCTGGCTACTTGGTTGTGCCTGTGCAAATATTCTCCGTTAGCAAGACGAGAACAACCAGATAATATGCCTGATTGATTCACCAGGACGGTGGCATGCCCGACAGATGTCAACCGTACCATCTTTCAGGATATATTTCCGATAGTTATTCGTCATGATAACTTCGTCCATAATCGCACAAACAAAACCTTCAGTTTCTCCGAAGAGATCACCATACCGTAGCCAAGTCGTAGATGCTTTTAAATCTATATCGGACCCGTTTAGGGCCCGATAAAACCGACCATGGAGCTCTTTGCCCTTCCATACTTCCCTGCGATTCCCTTCTTATTATTATTTCTAATATTATTATGGAATTAGTATGGACTCGACAATATAATAGTGCTTGACATTTATACCTACATACAAACTAAAATCATGACCCACCTTCGGTTTTTTTTTTTAAATGATTAAGGTAGGTATGCAATAGCCGTCGTTAATAAATTACAATAAGATCGTAATTTTTAATATACTTAGGGTGGGTCAAGATTGAATTATAGTTTTATATTCATGTGTTACATTCTATCTTTTTATGACAGTAATATTAAGCTGGGACCCGATGGAGACGATGATGCAGAAGAAGACACTAAATCCATTAATGTATCCTATGTAGACTTTGATAAGACTAAACCATACACTCAAAAGCAAAGTGGAGATGGCTTGCCAAATTCCGCTTCTAAAAGTATGTCACGACCAAATCAATTAAAAAATCCAGCAGCAACGGGAGAAATCCAATCACCGAATGGCAGATCTGGCCCTTCGAAAATGAATTATCTTGAAAGTGATATCAATATCGTAGAAAGAAACAAGGTTAAACGACAAAGCAGAACACATGAACCTGATCAGAAGCTAATGGAGGCTAATAAGCCTGTTAAAAAACACAAACGTGACGCACAATTTTAAAATATTATTCCTATTTTTTAGTATTTTATAAATTTAGAGTACATATTATTTTATATATTATTAAAATATACTTTTTGGTATATTCATTTATTGTTTTATTCGAGTCAATCGGTAGGTAAAACAGTCTACCCTCGCTTCGAAGCTCGGCCCTGGATTTCGAGCCGTGGCTTCGCCCGCAGCGCCTGCGTAGCGCGTTCCGCCGTAGCATTCCGGGCCCATGATCCTCCTCTTCACTATTCCGACCGGCAGAGCGAACTTGGTCATAGACCATCGCGTCCATGTCGGCCAGAATGTCGAAGGGTGGATATCGCGCCAGAACCGTCTCAAACGAGATCGTAAGCTAGCCCCGTACGATCCGTATGACCATTAACCGCTACAGGCTACTGAGTAGAGCCTTGCAGCGGAAGGCACCCGCCAGGTCATTAGACCAGACGGGCGCCCCATAGAGGGCACGCACGACGCCCATGTAGAGGCGCGGAACTTCTTCCTGTGATTCCCCAAGATTGGCGATGCAGCGCACCCACTACCCCTTCGCACTCGGCGGACAATCGCTCGACATGCTCTTCGAAGCTCCACCGACTGACCAGGATGAGGCCTAAGTACTTCATGTACCGGCCCACCTGGACCCACCCGGAGGCGTGAGCCTGTTGGTCTCTGGCGCTTACGTAGACCATGGAACCATATCGCCTCCGTTTTCTGAGGCGGCACCCTCAGGCCCAGCTCGCGAATCTTTCCCACGATACAAGCCAACCCCTGCACGGCAAGCTGAAGCACCTCCTCGAAGTGTAATTAGGCCCGAAGGCAAACTGGTGCAAAGGACCGGATCGTATGCGAGGTTCCACAAGGGATATATCAAGCCTAACTACTTACGCCACCCCCACAGGTGCCCGCTGATACGGTCTGAGATAACTCTCTCAAAGAGGTTCCAGACTCATTCGGCACTAGTCTCACTTCTTTCCAGACGACGGGGAAGACACCGAAGCCGAGACAATCCGTGAAAATTCGCCTCAGTTTGTCCTCCAGTACCGACAGAGGTATCACCAGCGCCCGGCCTGGAACACTATCAGGTCCGGGCGCGTTATTGCGGGAAGCCAGCCACCGTACGGGCTGGCTTCCCGCAATACCGCTCTATCGGCTCTCCCTCCGTCACCTTATACTGGTCGGACCAGAGTTGCGGTCCGATTCATAATTTTTAATATGTCGAAATTTTATTTTATTTATTTTATTTCAAATTACATAAGACCAAGAGGAGTGATAGTAAAAAATCCTAGGAGTTATGGAATGTCCAGATTCCTCTGAAAATCAATGTTTAGAAATTTGTAGTACTAAGACTAACAATAGTGTACTTCTGTAGTAGGTTACATCCCTATTCGAGTTAAAGAATCATTTATTGGAATCCCTGTTGATCAAGGGTTCCCAAACTTTTGTCTACTGCCCACTTTGAGAATAAATATTTTTTTAGCGTCCCCTTTTTTCGCCTACTTAAAAACCACTATAACTTCAAATTAAATTAATTAAATAATTAATCATTCATTCGCAAGAGTCAACTTGAGACCTGAACGCAGTACATAACGGCGCTCAGGTCTCAAGTTAACTCTTACGGGCTACACCTGCCAATGAGAATGATTATTAAAACGCAACTTTATAGTATTCAGAGTATCTTTAAAAAAAAACAATCGATTCTTGTATAAACACTAATGTGAATGATGAATCTGATGCTGTTTTATAACTTTGTTGATATCAGGTTCCAATTTACTCAAGAACAGTCGCAAGTCGCCACATTCGGTAAAATACAAACGATTTCTCTTTTTAGTAAGCAGCGTTGCCACAGCACTAAATCTACGTTCACACAAATAAACTCGGTTCCAAAAATAACGGGTCAGTCAGATAAACCCGAATATCTCCCGAACTACGCATGCCATCCTAATGAAACGAAGACTGTTCAATTGAGAATTTAATTATACAGATAAAAAATAAAATAAAACTTAAATCTAAACTCTCCAACTCTTAACTTATCTCTAAATTAAAAAAAATAAACTAAAGTAGTCATATTTTTCTTAAGATTACATTTTTTTATGATTGTTTTTTTGCTGTTTTTCATCACTTTCTTCATTTAATACTTTGTATTGCCTCCACGAGCTCTTCTGACAGCTTCCAGGCGATTAGGCATGCTGTACACCAAATTTCGGAGCCGGTGCTGAGGAATACCTTCCCATTCCTCCACCAGTGCTTGTTTGAGCTCGGGAAGCGTGATTAGTGGGGGGTTTCGACCTTTCACGCATCTCTGAAGCTCGTCCCAGGCGTGCTCGATGGGGTTTAAGTCAGGGCTTCGCGCTGGCCACTGCATGAGTTCGATACCGACCTCTTCAAGGTAGTCATGTACAATTCTGGCGGTATGGGGACGCGCATTATCATGCATTAATATGCCATGCCGGTCCATCCTGGACATGAAAGGACCTACATGTTCATTGAGGATCTCTTCCACGTACCTCTCTGCATTTAGAGTTCCATTTTGAATGAGTACCAGCTCGGTGCGGGCCTCAGTAGAAATCCCAGCCCAAACTTGTACGGAGCCTCCACCGTACGCCACTTTTTCCTCCACACACGCTTGATGGAAGCGCTCCCCTGAACTTCTGTACACCAACTGCCTACCATCATGCTTATAAAGCATGAATTTAGACTCGTCCGTGAACATTACCCTAGACCAATCGTCTAGTGTCTAGTTTAGGTGCTCGCGCACGTATCTCTGTCTTGCAATTCGATGTCCCCGTTCCAGTTTGGGGCCATTTGCGGGCCTCAATGGTTTCAAATTGGCTTCAGCAAGACGTCTTCTTACTGTTTGAGCGCTTAAATTGCCACCTCCAAAGCGAATACAGTGAGTTTTTAGACCAACAGCAGTTTGAAGACGATTTCGGAGCATTGTAGCCACCAGTTGTATGTCTTCCCTGGCCGTTGTGCATCTTGGTCTGCCATTTCCTGGTCTTCTAAGGTGTGATTCGGTCTCTTGGTACCGCTGGACTATCCGCTAAACAGTCGACAAAGATACACCAATGTTTCTGGCTGTTTCACGCTGGCTCCGCCCAAGTTCTAAAAAAGTTAGGATTCTGGTACATTCCTCTATGCTTCACCTCACAGAATAATAATTATGCACGTGGAAGACGTTCACGATAAATTTTTTTGTGACAGAATAGAAATGGAAAGCATCTAGGTATAATGAAATGAAACAAAAATTTTGTTTTTAAAAATAGTTATTTTTTTAAATTTTGTTTTTCTAATGAAGTTTTTTTCATCAATCAGTTTAAATAATATGCTATTAGAAGCGCAACTAAAAAGTCTTAATTCTGTTTTTTATTTCATTGATCTAACTTTTACAGTACTGGAGGTATTTCAATTTTTGTGACTGACCCGTAATTTTTGGAACCGAGTGTATAATATGACGATGGGAATGCTATAAAGAATCGTAGAATGATTGACGACAATCCAGGATACAATTGCGGGATCGCTTTTTGAAGCCAAAATTCTTGCCATTTTTGAACTTGATTTTTAGGAAATAAAATTAGTTTGATGATGTCAATTCTATAAGTTCTTCTTCCAGCTGAGGTGAATTGCTGTGTTGACATTTGAAAACTAATCCAACACCCAGTCTGGTATTTCCAAGTTCTAAATGTCCTGGTATCATTCGGTGAAGTCAATGTGGAGGTTTTCCAAATGTTGGCAGTAGGCAAACAAGTCGTCGTTACTGCAGGATACTGTCGTTACTACACGTCGTTACTACAGTGATAAATTCGGAAAATTGTGAAACTCACGTCTGACCATATTCTTTTTGTGTAGAAGCAGTTTGGCTGCGAAAGCAGCAACGACATTTTTTGTTTTAATTAAATTTAGTTCATCAGCTTGCAGTTGGAGATTCATGTCGTTGAACAATTTATACAAGTCTGTCTTGTAAGCTATATTATTCTTTGATGTAATGAGCTTGTTGCGCAATTCTGTATCATTAGTTTCCAAGAACTCTGTCACAGAGTCAAACAGGTTTTAAAATCGAGGCAGACAATTGCCTCTTGATAGCCAAACTTCAGTTTAAAACAACAAACGGTTGAAATCTTAGTCATTAGTAACACAAAGCTGATGAAATAATCTTCCGGCGCCTGAGTCGTCTGCGGTACCTGGCCCGTTGCCGGGCCTGGCGCTCCGGGAGAGTTCTAAACCTCTCCCGGTCTCGCTCCACCACCTCCTTAACAAGCATAACTTGCTCGCAGAAGGAGACGGCGGAGTTCCACGAACTCTCGCTCCGTACCATGGCAGCAATCATGTTACCGAGCGAGAGAACTCCCACCTCGATGGCCGCCACGAGGCAACGCCTCTGCTCCACCCACGCCGGGCATTCTGACAGCGTATGGAGCGCTGTGTCCACGGTTCGGCCATCGCAGTGGTGGCACTCAGGCGTTGGCTCCTTGCGGATCAGACACAGGTGATCTCCGAAGCATCCTTTCCCGGTGATCACCGTGAGAGGGTCCCGTGATGCCTCTCGAGCCAATCCTCCATAGTCAGGGCCCTGAAACCTCCATACATTTGTCGTCACAAATTACAGAGAAAGTTCGGCGATCTCCAAAAACTGGTACTCAAACATAACTATTCATAGCTACCGATAGGTGGAGCTTTTTGATTAGTTGATATAACTTTAAATTATTCAAGTGCTTTCTTCAATATGATAATTATTTATTGTTATGAATTCTTAATTTATATTTTACCAAGAAAAATATTTTTTAACATGCAAATAATTTCAATTTTTACGCAATTTGCATTTATAGTCTTTTATCTATGAAAATAGTCGTTCGCAATGTACAAGGACATCTGGCATTTTATTTTTTAAGTACGAATAAGAATCTCTTTCTCATCACAAAACTTTTCCAATGTATTGAATATGGTTTCGCCTTTTGTATCGGTCTCTAAATTTTGTAGCAAACAATAGTTCTTCACATATTTTATCATCTTTAATAAAC